CTTTATTACGGTATAGTATTTAAATGTAAGCCTGAAACACAAAATATTGCCCCTTTAAAAGAAAATAGGCCAGTTATGTGACAAAATGGGTAAAATCACGTGTACTATGCCAATTTTCTTAAGTATAAAGATGCTTTCTTGACTTTTAGTATTTCATGGATATGAGTGTCTCAGGCACTTTAAAGTAGACTTCTATCTAAGTTTTCTCTTATCGCAATGGYGAAACTTAATTCAGATGGATTGATTTGTTGTAATAGTTCCCACTTCTTCTCCATAAAATGTACTTCCGTTTTTTTTTTCTTTAATTGTCAATTAGCATCATTAACCCACACAGTCCACAAGCATCCGAGTATAAAAGTGGTTATGTTTTTGCACGACACAAAAGAGGCACATTTCTGACGTTTTAGTGCTGCAGAAACGAAAACGATTCGACTTCTCCTGGGCGTCGACGCTTACGTGTGTCCCCGTCCTCGGCGGGAACAGCCTGATCCTCTCCGCTCATCAGAACCACGCACTCACTGGGGGCCCGTACTGTTGCCTGCCACGTTGACATGGCAACAGGCGGCTCCTGGCAGGGGAAGAGGGCTCGGTTGTTGATGGGAGAACCGGCAGTGTAAACACACACCCTGGAAGGGTAAACAACGACAAACTATAAACAACCCTTCTTTCATTACTCAAAGGTTGCACCAAACACACACAAGCAAGAAGAACACCCCCCCCAACCCCACACACACACACACACACAGAACAGAGAATAGCCTAAAGTGAGATTTATGAATAAATGAATTAGTATTATTTTCTAAAATGGTTTTAAAATATTCCACAGTGATCTTAACCTGACACAAACCTGCCGTCCTGGTCCTTGGTCCACCTCACAGAGCCTCCGGAAGGTCTGGTGTTGTAGGAGATTCTGATGACACGAGGGAACTTCTGAGGGGTCTTGACCCCCGTCTTCCTCACCTGCAAACTCCAGCGGTCTCTATAAAACTGGAGCGAGCCGCCACCCGTAGCACCGGGCGCACGGCTGCACAGCGTGAAGACGTGATGCTTCTGTCTCCACTGTGCAGAGGATGCAGGGAAAAGGTTCTGAACGAAGGKTGCCGGTGATTCTGGACTTTCAGACGCAACGTTTGGCGTTTGGTCCGACACAGAAGAGATGTCCACCTCTTCCACCTTTGACACATCCAGGTCACAGCAGTCCAGTACTAAAGTGAAATCACCAACACTGGTGCTTTGCCACCACCGTGAAGACCGACCGCTGTCACCTCCAGTCTGAGATTCACACTCAAACATCTCCTCTATTCTCGTTTCAGGGTCTCTGAGATCTGCTGACGCTTCCTCCATCGCACCAAAGTCATGACATTTAGTCCCAGGATCACCGGCTCCGGGCTCGGCGTCATCCTCGGCCTCCGTGCCCCCCGCAGAGCAAGGCTCCAAAAACAGAACGATACTTCCACTAATGACCTTCTTGTCAAAATGAACTGTCAGGTCCAGCACATAATGTCTGACAAGAATGTGGTTAGTGTTAGCTCGGAGCGGAAGGTCATCCGTGTCTGGATTTAGGTCCCCATCTGGTTCCATGTCACAATGATGAAATTAAGGCTGAGCGCAGGACGGCTGAGCTAGGTGGGAGAAATAAATCGGATTTAAGTCTGTTTTGTTGTAATGAAGTAGTGCATATGTTTAAGACACAAATAACAAGCTGATGGATTATACCATAACTTAAGTTCAACCTTATTATCCAACTCGACCTGGTCACAACAAAACTACTTTATTATTTTAAAAAACTATTCATCAAAATTGCTTAGCCATATGACAGAGGCGGCTATCATTTTGCAGATCAAAGGCTTTTCTCTTATTTATGAGTTCCTGCCGTCACAATCTTTGTTTTTAAATTGCCCAAGGCAGAAGTCGTGGCAAGACACAGGTGTATTAACCATAATTAACTCTGTCCAGTTTTATAAAGTTATATAAGCACTAATAAAGAAAAAAGTTGAGGTGGCTCGGGCATCTGGTAAGGATGCCTCCTGGACGCCTCCCTGGTGAGGTATTCCGGGCACGTCCCACC